AGCTGTCTGTCCTGGCTGAGGTGACCTAACAGAGTGATGTCCTGGGCCGGCCACAAGCTGGCGCATCCCTGGGAGGCAAGTGGAGCTGGGACCTGCACAGCCAGCTGCCTCACTAGTGCTGCCTCTGTGCCACTGTGTGTGTGATCCATGACACACACCTCCAACCCAACCTGATGCACAGCTTTTCTCGGATGCATCGTCGGCCACATCTGCACCCTTGCACCAACACTGAAAGGCAAGCCCTTGGCCACTGCATGCACACCTGTCGAGTGCCACTTCTTGAGCATTTCCATAAGGAGCCTGGCTCCTGCAGCTGACCAGGGTGTGAGGCGAAGCTTCAGAGCCTCCGAGAACAAAGGGTCCCATCTTCTGCATGGGAGCCCTGCCCAGGCTGCATTCCTGTGCCTCTGAGGCTCCACTGCACTGCCCTGCCTCGATTCGTGTGACCCACACATTCTGTCCAGAGACTTCTTGAACCCACGGCACACTCACCTGCCACCTGCGGTGCCATGGTCCCCTGGGGCAGCTCGTCTCACTGGAAGACACAAGGGCACGAGAGAAGCTCAAGGGGGAGCCGGCAGTGTATCCTTGTTCCTGCACCTCGGGGAACACACAGCAGGCCCAGCAGGAACAAGCCTAGCTTCACATTGCCCGAGCAACTGCTCAAGACTGGGGACTGAGTCTTGGCCTGTTTGGGGGCCTCCATGTCCCCAGTGTGCATGGCTTTCTCCCGAGAAGACATCTGAGGTCCCCAGGGTCCTCTGGTCGCACTGGGACTGTGCTGGGCCTCAGCGTAATCCTATTGAGCATGACTTTTTTTAAGTCATCACCTTTCTTCAGTATGGGATCTCATCATTGACCCAGTGCAAGGAACAGCAGCAGAGCAGGCGGCACAAGATGTGCCCTCCCACCTCCAGGGAACAGGTGGATTGGCTTACCATGGCAAGTCCCAGAGATGTCTTTTTGGCAACAGGGTGGGCAGCAGCAGCATTTCATGGGCTCTGTGGTCTGGAAAGTCGCCCTGGAGTGCAGGAGAGTGGAAGGGACGGGGGCTTCCGGTGGTGACATCATCTGTGGGACAGGCAGAGGTGGGCGGGTGGGTGTGAAGAGCAGCATGAGCCGCTTCTGAGTGCACTGGTCCCGGGTGGGGTGTGGTCCCCATGCTGCAGCTGAGGGTGTCCAGGCAGGCTGCGTGCTGGGTGAGACAAGCCCCGCCCACTTGGCTTGGCTTGGGACCTCTTGGCCGCTTGGACCCCAGACCCACAGGTGCCATTGGCCCACATGGCCCTGCTGAAAGACACTATGTGATAGTGTAGCTCTCTTTCCTGCCCCTGTTGCCCACATCCTGGCGGATTCCTGGCAGCACAAGCAAGCAGTGGCACAGTGGGCACAGTGTTGGCATGAGAACATTGGTTCCAGGGGCTTTACTCAGGGAGGGCTCTTCACAACCCTCGTCTCACACCTAACAACATGGCATCAGTGTCTGTGCTGAGCTACCCAAGAACAGGCTGCGAGCACACACCGCATCCAGCAGCTCAGGTTCTGCCCTGCACACACACGTTCCTCTGCAGGTCGTGGCACACCACAATCCTGGACAGCTTAGAGAGATGAGGAATAGTCACGGGGCTGGACAACAGGCCAACTCTTGTGGTGTGGCTTGAAGCCACCCGTGTAGGTGTAGGCATCCGTTTTCAGGGAGCCCTGGCACCTGGGCTGGGCTCAGGACAGTCCGAAGCCCAGCCACGCGCCAGGGCATGCAATTCAGCCAGAGAGTTCAAGCTGTGGGCAGG